GAGACGGTCTCCAGCAGACCAGGGGCACCGGAGCAGCTTACGAACGGAGCTTTCTCGCCCCGGAGCTCGCAGGTAGCAATCCGCCACCTCGATCTCCGGGGCGAGAAAGCCCCGTTCGTAAGTGCGGATCCGACATAAGTCGGATCCGCGTAAGTCGGGGACTGCCTGTATATGGTTGTGCTCATTTTCTTCCACATATTGATCTGAGGAAGTGGGTCTGGCCCACAAAAGCTCATCACCTAAAAAACCATCTTGTTAGTCTTTAAAGTGCTACATGCAGCAATGAAGTTTTGGATCTTTTGCAAATTTTTAATATTATGGTAAAATTACAGACAGAGCCATGTCTGTTTGACATCTGGGTAAACAATTCTCTGCTCTGCATTCATACACTCTTCTTGAATTCTTCCCAGCAGCACTTCTTTTATGAAGGAGTCTGTTTTTGTGGACGGGATACTGAGTGACATGTTAACTATGCATGGGTATGAGTATGCAACATGTGACCTGTGCCTGGCTGTGAGTACTTACCAGTCACTCAAGATTCTGGGTGCATAGAAGGGATATAAAGGAAGAATCTAGCACAGAAATTGTGAGCTGCTATAAATGCTTCTTTGTCTTTGTTATGCTGAATATTTTGTTCATGTGAAGGTAAATTTATCTCTATTTTTCCAGAAGCTTCTCTTCCAGATTTCACCCTCTGTCCCTAAATGGATACCCTGTGTTAGCAGCAACCAATGGATTGCTATGCTGGCTTCCAGTGAGAGTTAAAGCCTCTGCAATCTTATCTACTAATTTTTCTATATTTCCCTCAATAGCTCTTCACTTGCAAGATTATATGCAAAAGATATTTAGGAAGAGTGATGACTATTGATGCGCACAACAAGACTTCCCTGTAGAGCCTTCAAGAGAGAATCAATTGCACATCACAAATCTTATTAAGGGTATGACCAAGACAGAACACGAGACGTCTCACTTCAAGCAAGGATCATACCACTAAACTATGAGTTACTTTTTTGCCATAAAGTAGGTATGCCTTACCAAACATTAGAGATGTTAACTAATGTGTATTTGTGTAAACATGTAACTGCTGGATTTTTTTTAGCAGTTACCTATTTACACGGGGGTGGGGGAGGAGAGCAGGCAGAAGCTGGTGCTAGCAGGGCGCTTGTGCGAGCAGGGAGCTCCTGCCTGTCCCCTGCTCTCCTAAGCACTGGCTCCCTCCTGCCCTTTGCACTGCTGTCTCAGTGGGAGGCAACTGGGGTGGGGAAGGGGGGAGGCAGACCTGCAGAAGCTGGCACACATTGACTTAAAAGCTGGTTCTCCCCTGAACACCAGCTCCCACCTCTTATCCTCCCTTGCTACTTCAGATATAGAAGCAGCATGGGTGATGGTGCATTTAATAGTTAGGCTTTACCGAGAAGCCCAGGCTTATCAGTTAATTGTGTAAACGACTATGCGCTAACATCTTTACTAAATATATGAAAAAAAATCTGGTTTGAAAGGCTATAGCTGAGTCTTCGAAATTGTTGTGAAGTGTGTCATCAGTCTTATGGGCTAGGGAATTTTTTGGAAGGAAGTTCCCTTCTGAGGTGGGACTGTCTTTCTCTGGAGGCCATACTGCTGCTCTAATTTTAGACTCCCCTCATGTGCCCAGAACAACAAATAAGTTCTCCAAAAGTTCAATGAAAAGAATCACTCTGGAAAAGAATCAGTATACTGTGGCACACAGAACTGTTGGACATGCATATCTTCAGAAATCCTAGTGACACAGCATCAGTGAATTTTCACAAACCTCACAATCTTTTGAAGATCCAAAGAACTATGGTGGAGGGCATGTTGCAGAATAATCTTTAGACTAATTCTATGGATTGTTGACAGCTCCCCTCTCCCTCCCTCTGATTTCTACCATGGCTGTTCTTAACTGGCCATTTGATTATTTCATCCCAGGCTTATTGAGGTCCCAATTCTGAAATTATTCATTTATTTAGAACAATCACTTCCTCACAGATATTTCAGATGAAGTCGCTGATTAAGAATCAAATTCTATTTCTTAATATTTGATTTATTCTAATAAAGTGAAATTACAACATTAATTTAAAAACGGGTCAAAGCAATTACTAGAAAAGAGCTTTCACATAAAAAATTATTTAAATTTAATACAACTATATTTACCAATTTTACATAAAAAGACATAGTGGTTTCCATATGGGGCATTTATTCACTAAAGAGAGACTGGGAATGGGCTGATTTGCCAGGTATCCAAAAAGAGCTTTTTCTAGACAGATTTTCAGCACATCACAGTGCCATTCCAAACCTTCTAGAACCTTCTCTTACTCTCTACTGAGAGCCTAACACAAGATCAAGAAGTATGAATCTTCTAGAACCATCTTTTACTCTCTACTGTGAGCCTAACACAAGATCAAGAAGTATGAAACCAACAACAGTGGAGTTGTTGTAATATTATTATACAGATTGTTTCGACAAACATTTTTTTGTCATTTTTCAGGTTTGTTTACTCCACCTCTTCAGTAACATCCACCTAATGAATGCACGTTGAAGAAATAAGTAACTTAGAAAAATAGCTAGAGAACTAAAAAAAAAAAAGTTACAACTAGCTGAACTAAAATATTAAATTATCAAAAAAAACCCAAAATCCATACCACATATAATTTATCTTTTAGAAAAAATGTATTAAAGGGACATTTTCATTAAAGGGTAAGTTTTTCTATGATATTATATAGTGCTTTTATCCATAGATCTTAGAACACTTTTACAGGTATCTTCACTCCATTTTACAGATGATGAAATTGAATCAGAGATGTGAAATTATTTGCCCAAGGTCACACAGTAGACCAATAACAGAAATGGAAACAGATCCCAGCTATCCCAATTTCAGCTCAGTATTTTATTCTCTGGACTATCCTGTGCAATAGAATATGTAACACTTAATAAACAAATTAATTTACCTGTGGATGATAGACACTGAGTGATTTCACTTTATGCAAAGGTAATAACACCTTCAATAAGAAAATTTTGTGCTCTTCTTTTAATGGTAAGGCAAATCCATTAATTATGCTGTAAAAAAATCAGAAGTTTTAAAAATCAATACGTGTTCAAAATGTTCACTAATGCCAAATTTAAGGATAAGAAAATTGTTTCTTTTAATTTTAACTGCACTAAGTTATTTTTCTTTGAGCTTTTTCTCATAGAACATTAAAATAGCATTTTCCCATACTGAAGATGGGGGTCATTGTATGAAATAAAAATAGAACAAAACATTAAAATTTAAGTCTAATTATTTACAGAACAGACTACAAATTCAACTAACAGTAAAATCAACATCCTCACATCCCCTGTATCAAAAGTTTTAACTTGCATCCCTCCCACATGCCAAAATCCTCCAAGTTTTATAAAATACACAGTTTCCCTCCCCAACCCATCTCCCTTTAGCTTCCAATCTTTCCACCTCCTTGCAAAGAAAGTTCTGAATAAATGTCCCTCCCACATGCTGAAAGACAGCTATTTCATTCCTAATGAGGGAATCAAGGTAAGGATGTTAAGCATTGGGTAACTGACTAATCAAATTGCTGATGTCAACTATCAGATAAGCACATCTCTAAATCAAGGACCCAACACTTGGGAGTCCAATACAGGAGCGTACATAGATTGGAGACAGAACTGCTCTACTGGGAAATGGGCAGTTTTGTATCACTGGAACAGGGAACAAGACAGCATCGCAGCACAAGCAGTTTCTAACACCAGGTGAGTAACCAGAGGTGTTACTCATTATTGAATGCATTGTACCCTTTTATGTTTTTATCCGGATTGATCTTTTGGAAAACCTGTCAACTTTAAAAAAAAAAGGGAATTAAAAATATTTTCACATTCTAAAACTGGAGTCTCAATGTCAAATTTTGCAGATTTACAATTACATGTTCTTATTTTTAAGGTGTTTTCATCTCATGTTATCTAGCATGGAAGGCTCTCTCAAACAGAAGAGTAACTGACAAACTATTACATGTTAACATACTATATTAAAAGAGCATTCAGGTTGCAAAATTGAGTACTGAAAAGTTTAAAAATTTTTGTATCACCTGCCCCTTATAGCGAACATTATAATGCAGTCTATAATTACACTATCACATACTGTTTTTTCCACAGGACCCATGCCTCAGGCACTGAATGAATAGTTAGTTATACATTATTTATTTTTATCCTCCTCAATGTGTGGCAACATGCTTTATTTAAACACACACTATCCAAACCCCACACTGAATTCAAAATTATTGATTTCCTCACAGACATTTCCATGGTGTTCTCATCAGAATATTTGATTGTTTTAAAACAGTAATTTATTTTCCTAATGCTCCTAGGAGATTAGTTATCACCACTTTGTAGCTGGGGAATTGAGGCAGAGAGCTTAAGCAAAACTGTCATAAAAAATGCTCAAGACACATAGGAACTGATTATTTAGAGTAATTAGCATTTCATAGCACTTTATAATACTCCCGGTGGAATTCTGCGACAAAAAATTCTGCGCACAATATTTTAAAAGTCTGCAAATTTCATTTGTAAAAAACACAATATAATCATACCAGTTTCAATTATTTAGGTCATTTATTTCAAAATACCTGTTAGCAAATACATCTGTAACAACAGCGACAAAAAAAATTCAGGAAATATTTTTTTAACAAACATATTCCTTACTAGGCATATTCATACAACACTATGAATAATAATTCATTTACACTACAATATAGAACTGCATTTCCTATACCCATCATAAGCAGTGCAAAGGCTTGTGGGAGTCAGGGTAAATGGAACAGCGGAAGGAGAGAAAAGCAAATTTCTGAGAAGGAGCCTGGATGTCAACTTGAAGGGCTATGGGGTAGGAGTGGGAAAAAGTATGAAACAGGGTTTTTTGGGGAAGAAGGGGGAACAGGGAGGGATTGGTAGAGAGCTTCCCCCATGCAGACTCTAGTTGACCACTAGTCTCTCCCATTCAGTCAGACATCTGCCACTTTAGCAATATATGTCTGACCCCCTCCCAACCACTTCCATGTCCCTATGTGGCTCTGCATCCCTTCCCTATTCCCATGAGTCTCTGCACCTCCCTCCCATCCATGGCCCATCATTCCCACTGAGACCCTGTCTCCATATGTCCTCTCCCATTAGTCCTTATGAGCCCCTGACTCCCCTCTCCCCAACATCACACCGCCCTTGTTCTTCACAGCACCTGTGGCCAGGTCAGAAGAAGATGGCTCTCTTCCTTAGCTGGCTGTGAGCTGCACTTTTGTTCAATTGTCACAGTGCACTTTGGGGGGCAAAGTATGCAGATGCAGCAACATTTAGGCAGAAGCTGGTTTCTGCATGAAAAGTTCTGTGGGGCTCCTTAAATATGCGCATGTGCATTAGTGCAGAATTTCCCCAGGAGTATTGGAGTTGTGCTTCAAATATACAATTTACTCTGATGGCAATTTTGAGCACTCAGCACTTCTGCATTTCTGCCACCTGGTGCCTCATATTAGGCACCCATAAAAAGAGGAGAGCACAATTAACAGTTAAGTATGACAATTTTTCTTTGTTACTTGCCCAGTATCAAAGAGAAACTATAAGGCAGAGGCAAGGATAGAATCCAGTTCTTCAGAGTGGCATTCAACTTCTCTCCTTTCTCTTCCTGTAATCCCATGCCTCTTTATACACATTCCAAATTCTGCAACAAAAAAGCAGGGCTTTCTCTTCCTGTAACCCCATGCCTCTTTATACACATTCCAAATTCTGCAACAAAAAAGCAGGGATCCCACAGGCACTAGCCTCAATAACTATACAATACTGATTCATTCTTATGGCATCATCTTTTTTGATGAGGCAGGGGTCCGGAAGAAGAAAATAAAAAGCATACAATCATGTGATTAAATAATGTCAAAGGCAGAAGCAACCTTAAATTCTGACATTTCTCAACTTTTGAACACTTGACTTTGCAACCTGAACTTTTTTTGGATGTAATTTTCTGGAAACATTGCTGACCCCAGCCTGGGTCATCAGCAATGTTTAAACCTTTAGATCCACAGCACAGACCTCTACTAACTGGTAGCAGTAATAGCCTGTTATTGTCTGTGGACTTGCCACTAGAAGGCAAGAACAAACATTGACAGTGGGTGCCACAACTATTTGCTTGATTCTTAGGTTCTGGAGGGAAGTGTTCTTAAGTGGTTATAGACTCTTCTGCTCCTGTGTCCCAAGACAGTGTCCTCCCACACTGATCCTGACTATACCCTCCTCACCCCCAGTTCCTGTCCCACTCATCCCTCTACATTTACAATCTCCTACTCTTATGTGCCCTACTCCCTGCCTTACATTACTCTTCCCACTGCATTAAAGCCAGGCATCATCATCTTTCACCACTCTGCTGCCTGGATACCAGTTGGGGGAGAATACCGAGAACACATGAAAGAGACATTTTCCCTGCTTTTAGTTCTTGTGCCTGAGATTTTTCATAAGCTTTTAACTTGGCCAATTTTAAGTACATTTTCCACAAAGACGGCAAAAGGCATATCCCCGCTGAAAAATTTCAAGCCTCTGTTCTAAAGCAGGAGATTCTGTCTTCAGTGTGAATTACAGCTTAACAGGAAAAGTGTCTGCCCTTCCATTCAGGGTTATGTAATGTCCCTATAGCAATTAAAGTAGTTGCTTACAAGTAAAAGTGATGTATTTTTAGCTCCAGTTAATACTATTTAGCAGCCAGAAATGGAATCAGTGCCACATCACTGGCCAGCTCTCCGCATGCTTCTGAACAACTGTGTGAGAACTACAATCTTAGATGTCTCGTAGATAACTTAAAAAATATAACTGCATTTTCTGGAAAAACTTAACAGTATGCCATTATGGAAGATACAGGGACATGGTACAGAAGGAAAGGAATGATTTCATTTCAACCAGCCTAGGACAAGGACTTTCTCTTCCTTCAGTGAGTCTCCTAGTAGTGCATTAAATCCTTAATAGGCATAAAGAAAAATCTCTTTTAACTGGAGGTGCTTTGCGATGGCGGGCACGAAGGATAAAGTTAATATTGACACTACATATTGCTGATAATATGATTGAAAAGTTAAAAAACAGGTGTCTTGGCTTTTTTTTAAATCTTTGTAATATTTTTAAAAAAATTATGGAAAATAAAATTCACAATGTGGTATCCATGGAGTTGGCAGTGGTGGCCCTCCTGCAGTGCTGTACTCATATATCAATATATTAGGCATCACTGGCCCTTCAGGCTCTCAGTTCCTTTTGCTGACAACTCTGACAGAGGGGCAAGAGGGCTGGACTCTATGACCTCTCAAGGTTCCTTCTGCAGTTTTAGTGTTCTATGATTGCCATTATGTGCTCTTAAATCTCCCTCACCCCTTCTGAATTCTGTTATATTCTTTGCTATTTCCCTCCCACTGACTATGAGGGAGAGCACTGGTATGGGAACTCAAGTCTTGCCACTTATTCACTGATGTGTGCAATGCATAAACTGAGGTAATAAATGCTGTATAAATACCTACATAAATATTAACTAATAGCTTTTATATTTTTTAGATCATAGTCAATATATGTGTCTTATATTAACTATTAGAGAACCAGAGCTGCTTTTTTGCCCCCCTTTCAAATATTGTTGAAGTTTCTTCATTTATTTATTTTAAAAACCTGTCATCCTAGCAATTTATTGTCAAATGTGACATAAGAAGCACTGATGGGCCTATTTGTTCATATAGTCCATTGCCCTGACAGTGCAAGGTAGAACTCTATAGAATCTTCCCCAGTAATATATTTATACTCTGAGATTTTCTTTTGTGAACAAATAGATTATTTGTTTAGGACTTCATTTTGATATTCTGCAAGTATTTTATTTTGTTTAATTTAATCTGGTATAGCTAAACTTGTCCACATACACTTTAGATCTAAACAATTATACTCTCCTTCATTGGTGTTTACACCCTTTATATATTAATAGATGGTTACCATCCTCCCTCCTTAGTTAGAGCTCTGACAATCTATACAAAATTTTAACATTTATTTGAAATGTATCCTTCAACCACCACTCACTTTTTAAGTTCTTAAAGGTTTGATGAGCGTTATGGTGTAAAACCAGTAACTTACCTTCCTAATATTTCCAGTAATTCTGCTATGCCATTGTGATGTTCTGTTTCATAAATAAACCTAAACAAATGAAATACATGTTTAGTCAGACAATATTGTCTATATATAGACATGTGCACCTATCTCCAGGATATAACTTTATCAGTCTGATAGCTCATACAGCAGCATTATCTGAGATTTAGATTACAAAGAAAAATATACAGTGGAAAATTATTACTTCAGATAAGAAGAACTAACACTTGTATTCAGCATGCTGAAAACCCCATTTTTAAAAACATAATATGTAAAAGGCAGGAATATATTTGATTATTTTGGATAATTAAAACTTTCAAATTCTTTTTTTGCTGTGCCTACAAATGATCTATTGATAGCAATAATGAGCCACTTCAGGTGCTTTTTAAAATTTATAGTACTGATTCTGAAAGGTTTTAGGATTACAAGACACTCATGCTGTTTTTGTTTCCTTGCAACATCTGTTTTGTGGCACTAATGCATGCCCTGCATGGTAATGCTATCAATGGCATATTCATTTGAATTGAACTGGCACAGTTACTGTTCTCTATCCACTGCACGCATCCTTGTGCTTTTCCAGTTGTCACATTTTATGCAGGAGGAACCATCAAAAATAATTTTTAAATATCATTTGACTGCATTAAGACAACAACGAGCGCGTGGCATGATGCTATAAATTATTCTCCCATTTGTAAAGTGTTCCAACAATTTCCAGATACTGATCTAAAAGTTTTATTCTTACCCACTGAACATTTGATTGCAAGATGCTCAGAAATAAAAAGGACAAATCAAGCCTTTACATTTTTTTCTGTTTTGGTGCAAAAGCACAATTTGGTGATATTTTGGAAGTTTTCCAAAATGATAAAGCTTCACATTTGTCCAATTTATGTTTTAAACAGGTTTTGAAAACATATTTTGGACTTTTATTAATAACATTTAAATCAGAAAAGTTTCCTATTTTAAAATGTTTTTATAGAATGATTTAAAAACAGTTTGCTTTGAATATTATTTCCCCCAGAAAAAGTAACTGAGTTCACATAACAAAATTTTCAGTGAAAAATGATGTTAGTAGGGAAGTCCTTTATTATTTGATAACATTAATTTCATTTGTTAAATACCAAAACAAAGAAAATATTTTAAAAATAATAAGTACACAAGGAAAAACTTTAAAATCCATATTCCACTAAGTAGACAAACACATAATTTTGGCTTATGATTTCAGGAAGCAAAAAAAGAAACATTGTTTAAATCTGGCCGGGGAGTTACAATGAGGATCCTAAAAATCAGGCCAAACATGAGCAAAGTAAATATTTTAGAGGGGTGTACATTACATTAAAAATGGTCATATTACTATCCGTTAAGTTTAAGGCTTAAGGAGATGAATGAACTTGTTCGTGAACTTATTTTTCTCCTTAGAATTTTATGCCCAGAAGAACTATACAAAACTTCTATCCATATTTGTTTTCAGTCAGATGCATACTGACTTCAGTTTCTAGTCCTTGAGAATTCAGTTGGTAGATAAAGAAGGCTTCTTGTTTATACTTTGTTGAAAAAGGTTTTCTATAAAGGTTGGACCTCCCTAGTCTGGCATCCTCAGGACCTGACCAGACCCGAATGAGGGCATTTGTCAGATATGGGGAGATCCCCTGCTACTGGCCTCCCAGGATACTGCCCCTCTCCCTGCTAGTGGGACTGCTAGCTTTGCTCCAGTCCCACTGCCATTGGGCTCCAGCCCTGCTGCTAAAGGGCTTTGGCTTGGCACATTGCCACCAGCCACCTGGGACCCACCAGCCACCTGGGACCCTAAGTTTCCCAGCCACTGTGGCCCCACTTCTGCCCCGCTTGGCCGAGGCTTCTTGGGGATGGGGCTCTGTGGCTGTCATGCTTCTGTCCTGCCTGGGGTTTCCTGGGAATGGGGCTCACTGGCTGCTGGTGGTCCTGCTGCTGCAGCTCCTCATCAGGGTTCCCCTGGAATAGGGCTCCACAGCTGCCCCATTGCTGCCATGCTGGGAGATGGCTCCACAGAGATGGGGTTTGCCAGTCCCACTGCTTCCCTGCCTGCCCAACACTCCCGGGAGATGGGGCTCCACAACTGCCCCACTGCTGTGGTGCTGGGACAGGGCTCCACAGGGACAGGGCTTGCTGGTTCCACTGCTGCACCCCTGCCTGACTGGGGCTCTTCAGGGATGGGGCTCCCCTCCGCTGGACTCCCTGACTGGTTCACAGATCCATCAACATCCGTGATCCTGCCAGACCACAGATGTTGCTGGACCAGAGTGTCCCGGATTTAAGAGGTTCAATCTGTATTTTAATTCAGATTTTATTACAGCATTCCTTATGTAAATTTCAGAACAGAAACAGACAAGTTAAAAAAAAGTTTATCCATTGTTTCTACCAACAACTAAAAGGTGAACGTGCAGACAGTCTCTCGGTTAGGTTAAAAGGGATAAAAACCAAGGATGATGTCATGCTAGGGGTCTACTACAGACCACCTACCCAGGTAAAAGAGGCTTTTTCTAAACTACTAAAAAAAATCATCCAAAGAGCAGGGTTTGGTAGTGATGGGAGACTTCAACCATCCAGATGTATGTTGGGAAACTAACACAGCAGGGCACAGATTATCCAATAAACTCTTGGAATGCTTTGGAAGTCAGACTTCCATTTTTTATTTCAGAAGGTTTGAAACAGCTACTGTTGTCTGAATATTCTCACTGACTTGCCCCAGATTAATGGGAGAAAGGAGTTGCATGTTCGTCTCACTGCCTCTGTAGTGGTAGTTGTGCCTGTGCATTTATGCAATCCAATGTGGTGCCTATGAACTTCAACTCCTGGGATAGGACTGAGGTGTTATCTGTATGTGTTTATGCGAAGTCCTAGAGTTCTGAATAGTTGGATTGTTTTTGTGGTGGATTGAGTGGCCTTGTGTTCTGTACATGCTACAATTAACAAATAGTCCAGGCACGGAGAAATTATTGTGCCCCGCTTTCTGGGATGTGGCACTGCCACACCTAGGATCTTGGAGAAAACTCTGGGTGCAGAGGACAGGCCGAATTGTAAGACATGATACTGATAATGTTGATCTTTTAGGGTGAATATAAAAAACATTTTGTGTGACGGTTGAATTGCTGTGTGAAAATGTGCGTCCTGCAGGTTGAGAGACAACATCTAGTTTCTTTGTTCTAGGGACAGAATCATCTTTGCTAGCATTACCATGCTGAATCATTGCTTTATTAGATACTTTATCATTTGTTCAGTTCTTGCAAGTCTAGGATGGGTCTCCAGCCCCCTGATTTTTTGCAGTGAGGAAGTATCTTGAGTAGAAACCCTGTATTGGTATGATCGCTATTGCCCCCATCTGGAGTAATCCGTTTATCTCCTGTTATATCAGGGACTTGTGAGTGGGGTCCCTGAAGAGGGACAGGAAAGGGGGTTGGGCTGGAGGAAAGGTGATGAAGGCCTTTCTGTATGACTTCTAAGACCAAACTGTCTGTTGTAATAGTGGCCCATGCATGGGAGAAGCGCTGCAGACTGAACTGGTAATGAGCAGTTTTTGGAAATGATGCCAAATCCTCGGCCAAACATTCAAAAGGTTTGCCACCTGTTGGTGGACTGGAACGTGATGGCTTGATCTTAAGTTGTCTGTGCTTTTGTTGTCTCTGACTCCTTCGTAGGTCATAGCTTCTCTGAGAGGAGTACGGGGATGCTCTGCCCCGAAGTGTGAATAGCCTGGCTCAGTTTCTTTTTGGGTAGGGGAACATACAAGTGACATTAAAGTTCCTGGGGATGTGAGTCCTAGAGGGAATGTAATGAGGCATCTTTCGTGGTGGAAAACAGCTTTTGGTCTTCAAATGGCAGGTTCTCAATGATATTCTGTACCTCGCAGTGAATCCAGAGAGGTGTAGCCAGGAGACATGCTGCATGACTACTGATGTGGCTAATGATCATGTGTCAGTATAAGCTATGCCAAGGGATACCTGTAGTGCTGTGTTAGCTCTGAGGATGCCTTTGTTTATGTTGGACTGAAAGGAAGACTTGCTATCCTCGGGTAGCTGTTCAGTAAGGTTTTTTTTCCAAAATAGTGGAATGTGTACTTCACTAACAGTGCCACATTAGTTATCCTGATCAGGAGGAATGCAGATGAATATGATTTCCTGCCCAGAATGTCCAGTCTCTTCCATTCCTTATTGTAAGGGGCAGATCTGTATTGCATTTGCTTATCCCTATTGTTGGCTGCATCAATGACCAAGGAATTTGGTGCTGGGTGGGTGAACAAAAATTCAGCACCTTTGCCAGGAACGTAGTACTTCCGGTCTTCTCTTTTTGATGTTGGTGAGACAGAAGCTGGTGTTTGTCATAAGATTTTTGCTGGGTCCAGTATGGCCTCGCTGACTAGCAGGGCTATTTTTGATGAAGGCGAGGCCTGTAGTATACTGGTCAATTTGTACTGTGTCTCAGAAACCTTGACCAATGAAATGTCGAGTGTGTTAGCCACTCTCTTGTATAAGTCTCGTAAAGACAAAGTTGTCCCCTGCAGCTGGCAGAGGGTGCATTATCGTCTCATCAGGAGATGATATGTGTGAAGGAGGCAATGTGTCTCCTCCCTGTGAGTCCTCCATATCCTTCATCTGCTCCTGCATATCAGATCTCGTGGGTGTAGGAGATCTGTAGGCCACTGTCTGAGGTCTGGGTGGTGTCAGCTGTGGAGGTGCTGGTGTCTGAGCCTTTGCATAATGAAGGGACCCTTCCCTGCCAAGGTTGTGGGAGTGGAATGGGAAGGAACCATGGAAAGTGTTGCTGCATCTGGGGCTGAGCCTGCTGCTGTTGTATCTGTGTGGCTGGCTTTGGTGACGAATGTTGTGGAGAGAATGTGATGATCTCATCAGAATCACTGTGACTGGAGAATGGGGAGGTGGGAGGGGGCTTGATGGCGTGATAAGCCTGCTTGGTCCCTCTAGCATTGCTGTGGCATTGGTACCAAATAACACAATGTACCCAGAACTAACACTATTGCTAGATCTTGGGGACTAGTCAGAGGCCTCAGCAGAGCGAAGGTCTGTACCGCTGGTGCAGAGGATTGCACTGGTCACTGTATTAAAGAGTCTGCCCATGCCGTAGATATGCTCAGGACTGGAGAGACTTCGGTACTTGAGGGCAGTACCAATTTAGCTGGTGCCTGTACTGGTGGTTCTAGGGAGCCCTTGTCTGCGCTGTGTTGAGGTGGTTTTGGGTGCTGTTTTTGTCAGTACCACTGAGGTCGGTACTGACAGCACAGTAGCAGCTTTCTTCGGTTTGGGTACTGAGACCACAGTGTGTGTCTTTGGCACACATTGCCCTTTGGGATTTGTCTGTACTAGACTTCCCTGGTACCCATGTGTCCCCAGCTGCCTGCACCTTAGGTGATGGAGGCTTGTGCTGAGATGATCTCTTCAATACCCTTTCTGCCAAGGGTGAATAGTGTTTTCTTTTGGCCTCCCTCAATGTGACAGGTCCTTGATCCAAAGTGGCTGTGGGTGAGGTCCAGGCAGGGGAGGTTTGGAGTGCTGGTTCTGAGACTGGTCTCTATCATCTCCATGGTGAGGAGCTTTAACTGAAGCTCTTTTACCTTCAGTGACCTGGATTAGAGCTTCTTACAATGATGGTAGCTCTTTGGTGAGTGGTCCTGGCCCAGGGACAGAATACATTGGGCATGCCCGTCTGAGATGGAGACAGACATTCTGCATGTCAGGCACCATTTAAATCCTGGTGAGCCTGGCATGCCTACTCTATCCTAAAAACTATAAACTATGAGCAGAAGAAAAGTTTTTTTTTTAAACTATCAACTTGGGAGGGGAAAAAATGTGAACAAAAACCTGACTAACAAAAGCTAACACTATAAATAAATATCTAAGGTATAATGCAGAGAGCTGCTGTGTTCTGACCAAACTGGGAGTGGTTGAGAAGGAACTGACGGACAGGTGACAATGCACATACATGCTAGCATCCGGGGGAGGGAGTTGCTGCTAACAAGTTCCAATTCCAAGTACAGGAGCACCAAGACATCTACAGTGGAGTGCCCACAGGGACACTCCTCAAAGAAGTTAAAAATTACTTAGAAACATTAGATGTGAGCAAGTCATCAGGACATGATTACAGAGGAGGAATCTGAGCCTTTAGCTATCATCTTTGAAAAATCTTGGAAAGGGAAAATATCGTGCCCATCTATAAAAAGGGAATAAGAACTCAGGAAACTACAGTTAAACTTCTATGCCAAAGAAGATAATGGAGCAAGCAATTAAGGAATTCATCTGCAAACAACTGGAAGATAATAAATTGATTGGTAACAACCGTCATGGATCTGTAAAGAACAAATCATATCAAACCAATCTGATAGCTTTCTTTGATAGGATAACAAGCCTTGCGGATAAGGAAGTACTACCCACATTTTAGTAAGGAATGTGACATTGTCTCGCATGACCACCTCATCAATAAATTAGGGAAATACAACCTAGATGGGGCTACTATAAGGGTGCATAACTGGCTGGATAACTGTTCTCAGAGAGTAGTTATTAATGGCTCACAATCATGCTGGAAGGGCATAATAAATGGAGTTCTGCAGGGGTTTGTTTTGGGACCGGTTCTGTTCAATATTTATCATCAATGATTTAGATGATGGCATAGAGAGTACAATTATTAAATTTGCAGATAATACCAAGCTGGGATAGGTTGCAAGTGCTTTGGAGGATAGGATCATAATCCAAAATGATCTGGACAAACTAGAGAAATGGTCTGAGGTAAACAGGATGAAGTTTAGTAAGGACAAATGCAAAGTATTCCATTTAGGAAGGAACAATCCATTTCACACATACAGAATGGGAAGTGACTGTTTAGGAAGGAGTACTGCAGAAAGGGATCTAACTTAGAGTGAACCATAAGTTAAATATGAGTCAACAGTGTGATGCTGTTGCAAAAAAAGCAAACATGCTTGTGGGATACATTAACATGAGTGTTGTGAGCAAGACACAAGAAGTCGTACTTTTGCTCTACTCTGCGCTGATTATGCCTCAGTTGGAGCACTGTGTCCAGTTCTGGGCACCACATTTCAAGATACATGTGGAGAAATTGGAGAAGGTCCAGAGAAGAGCAACAACAACAACAAAGATTAAAGATCTAGAAAACATGACCCGTGAGGGAAGACTGAAAGAATTGGACTTGTTTAGTTTAGAAAAGAAAAGACTGAGGGGGGACATGATAGCGGTATTCAAATATCTAAAAGGAGTGAGAAAAATTGTTCTCCTTGGCCTCTGATGACCGGACAAGAAGCAATGGGGCTTAAATTGCAGCAAGGAAGGTTTAGGTTGGGCATTAGGAAAAACTTTCTAATGGTCAGGATGGTTAAACACGGGAATAAATGGCCTAAGGAAGTTGTGGAATCTTCTTTACTGGAGATATTTAAGAGCAGTTTGGATAGATATCCATCAGGGATGATGTAGACTGTGCTTGGATCTGCCCTGAGGGCAGGGGACTGGATTGGATGATCTCTCAAGGTCCCTTTCAGTTCTAGTATTTTATGATTGTATGAATTAGAGCTCAGTTTGCGCCAATCAGGAAGAACTTTAAAAATATCCAGTTATAAATACTAGATATATGATTCTATATGCAAAAAAAAAATTAATAATCCTGATTCATAACTGAAAAGTTGACAGCAAAGACATTGCTATTACTATTTCTTGCAAGAGTAGCTACACTTTTGCAATAGTACCATTGCAGTGCGTGGATATTAATTATTTTGGATATCCCTAATTGGATATCTTTAACTTATGCATCCTCAAATTGTACTTGCTTCCCTCAGAAATGGAACTTGCCCTTGGAAGCGAGTTTCTGCTCATGTATTTTTTCATTTGTGTTGCCATGTCTGTCCTCAGGATATATATGTATTATGAAAAATTTGAAACAAATGTAGCTATGTCCTATGATATTACAAGCAACACCACCACTAAGATAGCGCTATGTTACAAAATGTAGTGTATCATTCAAACAACAAAGCACTATATAAAAAACAAAGTTGACACAAAACTGATCTAAATGCTGAATCTCAAATGTACTCAAACTATAGCTATACAATTTATCACATGCCTTAATTTATTACTTCTTTTCATTTGGATCACACAGAATTGTTTAATTAAATTGATAATTAAGTATTATTAGGCACAAACATGTTTAAACAGAAATAACAAAGAGATTTTGCTAATAAGGGACCAAGAGGTCTAAATTACCTCATCATATGTACCAAAATACAGAGCTGTGACATACCTATAAAATATATTATTAATTTGTTTCCTGATGTAAGCTCTTAGGCCTAAGAATTTCCCATATATTCTGTGAAGAGTAGTTTTAAGAAAATCTCTTTCTCGAGGATCTTCACTGTCAAAGAGTTCTAAAAGCTGTGAAAAATAAGAGATACATTTTACTCAATCTAATGAACTTTAAATCAATTTGGATTTAAAGCTTGAAGATATATTCATTTTACCTCACCTGTAATACAAACTTCTGATCAATATATTTCTTAGCTACATTAGGTTGGAAATCTGGAGATTCTAAAAATCTTAAGAAAAATTCATAAACAAGCTGAAAAAAACCCACAAAAAAAGAACATTAGTTTTTTAATACATTACATTTTTGTAAGCAATACAATTATAATTCAATTCTGACATTATTCAAAAATAAACTCCCTCGTTTTAGCAGTATTATATGTGACTTTTATATCACTTTACAGCCAGAGTAGTATTGCAATTTGGTGCAGGGAACATACATCATCGGGTGCTGCATTTTCTAACAGTGCTACCCGCTTCAGAGAATTCCCAATACTACATTCCTGAATTAATTTTCTTTTATACGAATAGATACTAATCTAACACGCATGATATTCAGTAACACCTATTTTGAAAAATCTTTTTTGTGCTCACATTCAAACATCTACAGCTAGAACCTTGTGCTAAATAATAAAAATAATAGTAACAATAATAAACTAATCAATAGTAATAATAAACGAATGTTCCCTTTGATATTATTAAATTTAAAATCACGTTTGACATGTTTATTATAAAAATATGCCAATTAATTTTCAACATAATTTCCTTTCAATTTGTTTACAAATTAACATATTTTGAAAGATTAAACTAATAATTTCAAATTACACAATGTAATTGGAAAGTGTCTAATTCTTAAAATTAACAAATGTAATGTTGACTGAATAACAAAGACTGTCTAGTTCTTAAAATTAACAAATGTAATGTTGACTGAATAAGATCATTTGCAGTAGTGTATTTAATACACAGTAGGAAGATATAGTGTGGTACTATTTTGAAATAATTTAATCAAATGAAATGAGGAGATTGCTAATTACCTGTAGGTGAGGCCAGGCAGCTTCTAGAGTTGGTTCATCTTCTTCTGGATCAAATTCTGCCCCCGTTGGATTAGAAGATGGTGGTAATGTTCGAAACATGTTAACTGCAAACTAAAAATCACATGTATTTTTAAAATCTCTGAAACAACTGAATATCTGAAGACTTAAAAATGCATCATGAAGTGAGGATTCTTTATAAAACAAGTATTTTAAGTAATACCGCAAATGTATCATTTAAAAATGTTAACTCAACTATTGCTAAAAAATAATTAGCTATTCAATTAAATCTTTCTTCTTTGCAGATTATAGCTTGAAGAATATTTTATCTACACTGTGTTGTTTTAAGTCTAAACATGCAGAAAGCATACTGTTACTAAAGATATATTTGGGAACTAATGATGTTAGAACAGTGGTTCTGAATGGTGAGCCCCAGATGAGAACTGCTTGGCAGAAAGTCCCAGTCCTACGGTGGGCCTGATCTTTACTTTTCTTTTCCTTTCCTGAACTTTCCACAGATCCCCTACAGTACCATCGTGAACCACCAGGAGTCCACGGGTCACAGGATGGGAACCACTGTGATAGAGAATGTGTTACACAGAAAATGTTTACAATGAATTTTAGATGGAAGCCATAATAATGGATATTAAAGAAATTTTTGCTCATATATACCCTGTTCCAAGAAGCATCCCCACTATAACAAAACTACCATATTATGATTAAAAGTTAATATTTACCTATCTACACGTCCAAATATTCATTTTTCACAATTCACTGCATTCTGTCACCTTCCTGTTTATACAGGCAGTCCCCAGGTTACGTACAAGATAGGGACTGTAGGTTTGTTCTTAAGTTGAATTTGTATGTAAGTCGGAACTGGTACATATTGTAGGGGAAACTCTAGCCAAACATTTCTCCAGAGCTCAGTTTTATTCTCCCACACCTCACTACCCTCAGTCCTTTATTCTCAAGCTGAGGAGTCTGCTGAGAAAAGCCGCTCCCAGGCAGTCCCCAGGTTACGTACAAGATAGGGACTGTAGGTTTGTTCTTAAGTTGAATTTGTATGTAAGTCGGAACTGGTACATATTGTAGGGGAAACTCTAGCCAAACATTTCTCCAGAGCTCAGTTTTATTCTCCCACACCTCACTACCCTCAGTCCTTTATTCTCAAGCTGAGGAGTCTGCTGAGAAAAGCCGCTCCCTGGTCTGCTTG